ACCCCCCCCCCCCACTTCTTAGAGGAGTGTGTAACACCCCACCCTGGATGACCCGAGTCATCTAGACCAGAGTGTTAGTAAAACCGAGTTACTTTGTAAAATAATTTTTTTTCGAAATATATTCTCTTTTGGATAACCAAAGAAAATAAAAAAAACGTTTACCGCGTAAACTTAAAGTGAAACATCCACAATTAATACAACCTTGGGTTCAAGCCCAAAAACAAGTAAAATTAAGTTCGACGTTTTATTTATTATTAAATACTCCCTCCGTCACATAAAGTATTACCCATTTTGACTAAAGTTAAATTTAAGGGTGTGATAATTTTGTGTTGACTTTCCAAAAATACCCTTGATGTGATGGGTAAAAGTAGGATGTGATGGGTAGATTATTGGGAAAAAGGTATGATGTGATAAGTGGGGTTTGAAAAAGTAAGGGGAAAAAGTGGTTTTTTAATAGAAATGAGTAAGGGATTGTGAGACACAATTTTTTTGAAACGTGTAAATCTTTTTGGGACGGAGGGAGTATTAAATAAGAACTCTTTTGGTACGGCTTCCACGTCTAAGCTTTCCTCCTTAGCAGTCGTTCCCCTTACTAGTACCTGCGTGCAGTAAAAAAACTACACGCTCAGCAAAGCTGAGTGGCAAATAACCAATAGTCACATATAATATGTAAATATATTTTAGGGCATTTTAAGTTATTCATGTTTTATGAGCTTTTTGCATAATTAAAATTGTTAAGTAAATAATCTCACTTTGAAAAGTTACTTAGGGACATTTAGAAAACACTTGACTTACTGGGTTAACCACAGATTAGGAATTAAGCCGTGACTAGGCTGGAACACCGTACTAGTCGTTTCATAGTTTTACTTCGGATACCTCCCCGTGACCTTGGGTCCAGTAATCAGAAGTGAACCCTAGACCCACGGGGTCATCGTTGGGTTCTCGTGCGCACGTTGTGGTATGATTATTTATAGGCTCATCCACATGGACACGGTCCGGCCTTGAAAGTGGTTTGACCCACTTGGTAAAAACGTGACAGTACTTGGTCAGAGTACGTCGATATATAAATCTTTGAACTTTTACTTCATCCACTAAATGTTTGGTTAACCCTAGTACTAGTACGGTCATTTAAATAAAACACTTTGAACCTTTACTTAGTCCACTAATTTGTTTGATTAATCTAGTAAAGTCATTTACATAAATCGTTTTTTTATCTCTTAATCAATATTAAAAAAAATCATCATACAATATTGTCCCCTTTTTATCTTCTAAAACATCATGCGACTTGATAAAAACATCAATCAAACATGTGAAATTTGCACTAAATAGGACTAAAACATAATGACTTTACTAATGTAGGACTTAAACTTTTTTATTCCCTAAATAGAACTTAATAATGACCTTGTGGAAGGAATAATGCCTAGTAATGATGGACATTTAGTAGAATAATGACTACTTGATAATGACTAAGGTCCTAAATTGGGAAATAAAAACATATGGTCCTATATTGAGAAAGTCATTATGTTTCATTCCTATTTAAGTAAATTACTCATCAAACATTCAAAGCCCGTAAAGTTTACAACTCTATTCATTTATCAATCATATACCAATATTTTTAGGAAACAAACATACCAATTTTTTTATAGTTATGGTCACTTACGCCATGAGACAAAAACAATTAAATGAAATCAACAAAAGTTTATTATGACATGAACAAAGTTTCATTTTTGTTTATAAAACTAACCAAACTATTTTTTTTAAAAAACCTTCGACCAAACTGTAGTTTGATCAATCATAATCATTGATTATGATTAATCATTATAAAACCTTCACCCCTTACTCTTTAAAAGCAAAGCTGTTTTTTTTTACTCTACTTTTTTTTAAAAACTCTCGGCCTTCTTGTTTATAAAACAAAAAATGTTTTTTTTCCTTTTCCTTTTTATACTCTAGTTTTTTTTTACCCACGGCCTTTTTTGTTTATAAACCAAACTTTAATATTTTTTTTTCAAACTACTGCCGTATATATATATATATATTAATCATTATAATAACCAACCCTTTTTTTGCTATCATTTTCTTCCCTTAACCTTCGGTTATGAAATTTTTTTTTATTTAAAAAGTACTAATGATAATAATAAAGAATAAAAAGTTCATTCTTTATCCATTACTGGAAGTGTGCAATTACACTTTTCTTTTTGTTTCTTTTTTTTCTTTTTTGAAGCCAAGTGAAATTTATGTGCAACATGTATATATTTTTTTATTATTATGATTATTATCTTTCTCTTTTAATGTATTATCTAGAGGAGTAAATTCATGTAAGAAAAAGTAAATGAAATGCACAAAAAATATATTAACATGAAATATATATCTAAAGGTTAGGGTTAACGGCACACCTTAAGTGTCGGTTTTGACAAAACAATAGTTGCACAAATCTTGGCGGAATAATTCCGTGATGCGTCTCCCGTGTATCTCCCTTCCAGCAACACCACAACCCCGCTCCTACTAGCTCACTCCCTCTCCCTCTACTTAGCTATGAATATATATTTTTTCCAAAATGATTATGCATGTGTTCTCCCTTCCTAAGGAACCCTATTTATAGGGTGGGGAGAAGGTGCTAGAAAGTGATGGGAAGATGGATGGTTCCCAAATAAATAAAATATTATTTAATTATTATTATCAAATTAATAAAATCAAAATTATTACTCCTCTTAATGAGGTGAAATGAATGGAGAAGAGGTTACAAATGTTATAGGCGTGAGAATGAGAAAACAAAAGGTTTTCTTGCTCTGTTGATTTAGTACCACGTGTCCAATTTCCACAGTTTCAATAATTAAACATTCCCAGAAAAATATAAAATTTATACCGTTAAGTTTCATATTTTTCACACATCATTTTGACATAATTTGTTTGTCGAGAAAATAGGTTCACTTGAACAAATTAAACTATATTATTCAAATAGTAGAGAACCAAAATTAATTTTATTCACTTTATTATTTTTTCCATCCCCACTATTAATGGATCGTTTAAAATTACATTCCAATTTGATTATCTTTAAATAAATAAAAGTAATATTTTTTAAATTTTATTTAAATACTAATCATTTCTTTGTACTAGAAAGTCAAAATTTCTAGACAAGTTTTCAGGGCGTTACAGAGTGGCTCTCATTTCATAAGAGAAGTTGGAGAATCTTTGACAAAATATTTTCCTATTCTCTCATTTTATTTAATAGACCCGATCTCACTAATCTTCTTAAATAGATCGGATCGGGTATTATTTCCCATCACCACCTATTATTATTAATACTCCACCTTCTATTATCAATTCTGCATCTTTGTTTGCAACAACAACAACAACAACAATAATAATAATAATAATAATAATAATAATAATAATAATATTATTATTATTATTATTATTATTATTATTACCTCACTTCATATCATCATATGTTTGTCCCATTAACTTTTTTAATATTTCTTTGAATTAAAGAAATATATCAAAATTTAACTATAGTAATAATAATAATAATAATAATAATAATATTATTATTACTCCACCTATTATTATTAACAGTCCACCTTCTCTTATCAATGCTCCACCTTTTTATAGTAGAGTAATAATATTAATAATAGTACTGTCTTTATCATTAATTATTAATACCCCACTTCATATTTTCGTCTCATTAATTATTTTTATTTTTTCTTCTGATCTAAAAAATTGTTTTATATAGTAATTTTGGAAATTGCATTGAACTTTGAATTTAATACATCAAAAAAATTTTACTTTTACCACAGTGGAACATGTAATGCTAATGTTGGAAAAAAATAACAACATTTATTTTATGATCTCAAAATTAGATTTCTTCTTTTTCCTTACACGCATAATAAGGAATATTATAATATAAATTACCATTTATATATTACCATATTAATTTATATTATTTATTTATATTAAGGAATAAAGAATATTATTTGACTATAATATTTCCTCTAATAAAATGCACTTATATATTATCATAAAATACACACTTACCATATGTAATCCAAAGTCAACGAGCGAGAAAATGGGATCAATATTTCCCCTATTTTATCAAGTATTGATGCACGATTCATGCACAAAGTACAATGACATGCATGCCATGGCAGGCACACTACCAAAGTACTCTGGTCGCTAGTTAAGTAGAATCTAACACACGTTAAAACGATATCAATGAAAGAGATGCATCACACATGTTGGAAGAATCAAGATCAGAGGAACACGACGAACACTACATGACAATTTTTTGCATCGATCATGTTTCACATTGTTAATAGCTTATTCTTTTTCAGTATCCCTTCATCTCGCATTATAAACTATCAAAATTTGAATTCTTGATCAATGGAGTTTTTGTTGTGTGCTTGTGTTTTACACTTTTACATACTGCGCTTCTTTCCCTTTACTCGCTACCTTTCTCTCTCTACTGACATATAAAGCTTGTCGTATGTAGTGATCTATTGACCATCTTTATCCCATTTAACAATAACATTATCACCATTAGTTATTTTGTCATTATTTATGTTAATACAATCGACAAGATTCTTTTGACCCAGGAACCCAAGGTCAATCATATTATGAGCAGAGACTTACGATGCTTCATTGATAAGATTGATAGTTTCCTACCGTCGTCTATAACCCTCCTAAACATCCACTGCCCTCTGCACTCCTCCCGAGCCCCCTTCCCCTATTTTATAATTAAATCAAATATATATGACCCTGTTCTTTTGGGTTAGAATTTCAGAGTTAGATGTTGGAAGAAACTAGAGGGAATTGGAAAATTTTGGAAAAATTTGAGTGTTAAAAAGCCACTCAATCAAATGTTCATTCGAATAAATATGTAAAAAAATTATGATTTTGGATAAAAAGAATGCATCATTGTATGTGTTTGAGGTCATATGTTATAAATTTAGATATATAATGTTATTGTATATGCATCATGTATAAATATACTACCTCCGTCCCACTGTCTTTGTCCACATTTGACTTTTGGAACTGTTCATCTAAGCACTTTGACTCATCAAATTCTCTCAATGTATAAGCCTAAATATAGTCATGTGTGATCTTGTTTGATTTGTCTTAACATATAGATTATTAATATATACTCCCTCCGTCCCACTTTTTTTGTCCACTTTCATTTTTGCACATCATCCAATTCACTTCTTTAATCCATTTTAT